ATGAAGACCGTGGCTTGGGGTCATATGGAGGGCATGGGCTCCATGTGAATCGTTTCAGACTTTGTAGGGCCACCTAAGAAGGTTCCAGAAATTTTGTTTTCTGAGTCCTTGTTGAATAAGACTCTTCTTTTTCTCCTTCTCTGCCCTTCAAAATGGCACCCATTAACCATTTCTATCATCCTTCTCCTCTCGGAACAGTGGGGAGTCAGAGGGGAAAGGCATCTCCACAGATGCAAGCAGACCCAAGCGTTGGTGCACACAGTGAAGGCTTCCCCCACCACACCCACCCTCCCAAGGCCATGGCAGCCTGGAGTGCAAAGGAGTCAGGGTTCCCACTTTTCTGCTTCCCTCTCCCCGACTCCTACGTTTCTCTCACCTCTGGAAATGCCTTGTCTTTTGTCTGTTTTGTGTATCTCACCCATCATTTAAGGCCCATGTTAAAAAGCCCACCTCTTCCAGGCAGTCTGCTCAAATCCCCAGCCTGCCATGGCCTTTCATCTCAAAACTCTCACAGTAGTTGTCATCCAGTACCCTGACGGGTTTCTGAGAATTTTCTTTGTTAGCTACCCTTTTGCCTCAGTTAGTTTGAAATGCAAGTGATTGGAACTCAGGGTCTATGCCTTATTTGTACTTTGATAAGTATGATACCTAGCACGGTGTCAGGCACACAGTAGGCATTTAATAAGTGTTTGTGAATGAATGAATGAATGAAGTATATTTGAAGAAACTCCCGGAATTCTGTTCCTAAGGAGGGAGGGAACCCCAGACTAGGTCAGGTGAAAGCTGGTCCTGCCCCTCCACCTTAGTCTGGCTTTCAGACTCCCTGGGCATGGGGGAGGAGCGGCCTGCCTGCTACGGGCCTTGCTGGGCAGGGGACAGAGAGGGAGAGGCAGTGCCCAGCCCGGATGCCCGACGGAGTGGGTGCAGGGGTCGCTGTGGGAGAGGGGAGCCGTGGCACTGGCTTTCCTTACGATACTTTCGTTTATTCTTCTACGTGCACCCAGATACCTCCGGCAACGCCGCACGCTGGCCGAGTGATGTGAAAACAGCTGAAGAAGAAATAAAGCAAAAGAGAAAACCAAGGAAAAGAGGGTAAACAAAGAAAGAATTCACCTTTCATGCTCCTGCAAAGTCCGCGGTTGGGGAATGAAGTTAAGACACAAAAGCTTTGCAACAACAACATTGTGGGGGAAGGCACAAGAGGGAGGCCGAGCAGCCATTAAAGCAATTAAGAAAAGATTAAGGTCGCTGGTGGTGGAGAGAGAGAGACCCATTAATCAATAGGCCAGAGATCGCAGCAGGCTACAAAATTATAAGACCAGGCAAACTGGAGAACACACAGGCTCACCTCAACCAAGATGCCTGAGTAACTCAGAGGCAGAAATATTATATTCATTTCTCTCGCTTGGGGGGAAAATGGTTCTCAGAGGAACGGTTTCCTTTTAATCACCTAATGGGACATCCTGAGGTGGGGGTGAGGTCCACATTGATTTCAAGGCAAATTCTAAAACATCCTGGTAAAAGAAAAATTCGTCGTAACGCATGATAGCAAGGTTACTGGGATGGAGGGATATCAGAGCACGAGCCTGTCTGATGCTATGAGGGAGGGTCTTAAAACTTCCTGTTGCGGGAGGTGGGGGGGATTATTGTTCACAAATATTTGCCACCCCTTCCTGGGAAGACCTGGGTCCCAGCTCCACTGACAGCAGGCTTGGCCGTATGACTTGCATGGGCGAATGACACATGTGTCGCTTCCCAGCGGAAGTTTTAAGAGCCGGCGCACAGTTTGCCGTGTGCTTTCTTTTCTCGTCCTTTGCAACAACCCTGAGGTGTTCTGGACAGAGACTGTATCCTTGGCTCAACGTGAAGGCTCAGCTGACCGGCAGAGGACATACAAACTTTCCTGTCTTACCCCACGGAGAAGTGGGGGTGCCGGTGTATCCTGATTGATGTATGTCCTTACAGTGTGTCTCACCGTTGTATGGAACCTGTATGGGCTCCCTACTCCTTACAGGATAAATCCCGCACTTCCGGTCCTGACATCAAGCCCTTCCCCTCTCCCCCTGCGTTATCGATATCACGATTCTCTTCCCGTGCCCCCACGGTCCTGCCTGACCCCTCTCCTTATTGTGCCCACACATACCTTGTGTTAGCGAAGAAGGTCTTCTGGTTAAGAGGTCTAAATTGCTCAGGCCTTTGATCACACTCTCTCTGATACCCCCCTTGAGAAGCCATTTCACATAACACCCCTCCCCCCCCCACACACACACTCAAAGTCATCTCTGGACCATTATAGCTCGTGATCTGTGCCATTGAAACACTTATTTTTATTTAACAAATACACATATAGTGCTTGCTAAGCATCAGATACTGTATTCATAGCTATATATATATTAGTACATTTAATTCTCACTCAACCTTATTATTTCCATTTTACAGATGAGGAAGTGGGGCAAAAAGAAGGTACAGTGAATCCATAGAGCTATGAGGGGGAGAGCAGGGATTTAAACCCAGGCAGCTGGGTTCCCGGCTCTTACCCTCTCCCCCACACGGTCCCAAGTGCTTCTGCGCCACCTTGCATGCCACCTGACTTATCTTCCCACCAAGATTATAGAGCCTTGGAAGGCACAGGCACTTTCTTTGATCTTCTCTAGCATTTAGCCTGGTAGCTGGCCCACTAGCTCCCTTCCAAGACCTGTTAGTTGATTGAAAATCCAGTGGGTCATTTCATTTCACCCATTTCTTTGTCTCCACATAGAAAAGAAGCAAAACCACCTTAGAGAAAACTTCTTCCCAAGAATGCCTATTTGAGTGGAGGGGAGGCTTCCTGACATCCAGGTCAAGTGTCTCCTCTGGCAGCATTGACTCGTTTTCCACGTTTGTAAGTGTCCGTGAAGACAGAGAGCAGATGACCAGCTCTTACTTAGGATAATAACTAGGATAGCAGAGATCATTATTTTATTAATCCATTCTTTGTTTGAACACTGCCTTATTTCTTTTTTTAAAAAAATTGTCATGCTTATTTATTTTTAAGAGAGAGAGAGAGAGAGAGCATGCAAGCACATAAGCGGGGGTGGGGCAGACAGAGAGAGAGACAGAATCCGAAACAGGCTCCAGGCTCTGAGCTGTCAGCACAGAGCCCGATGCGGGGCTCGAACCCACAAACCGTGAGATCACGACCTGAGCTGAAGCCAGACACTTAATCGACAGAGCCACCCAGGCACCCCCAATACAGCCCTGTTTCTAAAAGGGTATGTGACAGCCAGGAAGGAACCATCAAATACAGTCAAGAATACACAGAAAAAGTGAGAAGGAATCCTCACAACATACGTTAAATGAAGAAAGCACATCGTAGAATGATGCGTGCTGTGTGAGCCATTTATAAACTTCATAAAAAATAGGCCTGCCTGCAACTTTCTATGAATACACATACAAATGTTTATTGCAATTTCAGAAAGGAAGATCTGAACTGAACTTAGGATTTGGCTCCTGCTCTGATTGGGAGTAGGGAACAATCCTAGAGGGAGACAATGGGCATTTCAATTTAATGTGTAATATTTTTAGACTTGAAGCAAATATAACAGAATAGTAACACTTGTCAATTTTGTATGGCAAGTATCAGATGTAGTATTATCAGTGTGTACTTTTCAGAATTTTCAAAGTTCCTCAACTTTAAAAAAAAAATGGGGGGAAAGAAATTGGAAAAGATTTGGAAGAATACCTCAAGGCTGTATTTACTTGCTCTAGGGAGCCACAAATTTATCTCTAAGCATTCTATTTTTTTTTAATATTTTTTTATTTATTTCTAGGAGAGAGAGAGAGAGACAGACAGACACAGCATGAGCAGGGGAGGGTCAGAGAGAGACAGAGATACAGAATCTGAAACAGGCTCCAGGCTCTGAGCTAGCTGTCAGCACAGAGCCCGACGTGGGGCTCAAACCCACGAACCGCGAGATCATGACCTAAGCGAAAGTCGGACGCTTAACCAACTAAGCCACCCAGGCGCCCCTCTAAGCGTTCTAAAGGCCGATGCAAAGAAAGGAGCCAGGTCAGTTATATAATTCACGGGGTCACGAGTGTCCCCAGGTGAAAGCCTATCTGGGCTTTGGAGAAGCTCAGAAGCCGATACTAGAAACCCCAGAAGCAATGGTGGCTCTACAGAGCATCCGTAGGAAGCCAGGAGCCTGCGGGCATAGGTATGTCTGTATGTGTGTGTGTGTGTATGGTTGGGGGAGAAGCTATTTGTTAGGGATCTACATTGTGTACTTCTTTACCTGAACTTGTCTGTAAGGATGAGACAGGCGGGGGCCGCCCTTGGTCCGGCCGTGGGATGTGATGACCAACCTCCTCACGACAGCCCTGCCATGAGCCAGCGATGAGTCATTTTAAGTGGCGTTCCAGCAAGGTCCATTCATATGGCAGCCCCACTGCTTCAGGGCGGCCCCGCTCTCTGCCAACCTGGCCTGGCCCAGGGGGAGTGGACTTTCAAGCCCCTGGAGGAGTAGAGGGGCCATGTGTCCTGCAAGCAAAGAAACGCAAATGATTTGTGCCCTTGGCATTGCCCGGGACACATACGGGGAGGGAAGATGGGGACTGGGCCACTAGCAGGACCGTCAGTGTCTTCTTCTCCTTGTGGGGCAATGGCGGCCAGCTGGGGGCAGGCCTGGCTGTTCCCTTAGGGAGGCTGCAGGCACTGGGGACTCACCTCCCTGGAGAGCCAACCCACCTCTTCTGGAGGTGAGTCCAGGGGCACCCACTGCTCTGCCAGCTAGCTCCTCAGAAAGCATTTAGAATTGGCTCCAGCGCACACACGCACGCACGCGCGCACACACACACACACACACACACACACACACACACAGTGGTACCGGCGCCCAGGGTCCACTCCAGGCGGTGCGCCCAACAGTCTGGCCTGAAAAACGTCTACAGCAGGTGTAACCAGATACCCGGCCTCCACCAACCTGCCAAGAAAGAATTCAAGAATGTTTGTCTCGCCTGCCCACACTTCCTGGTGTGGCCGCTGGATGCACTGCTTGAGAAATGACGTCACTGCAACCCTGTGCAGCGTGAAGCAGACCTTTTCCCGTCAGGTAGTGCGGCTTGCGGAAGGAGGCCTCTTCCCTTTCCTGAGGGCGATAATTCTCCAGGAGAACCAACTGCCTGTTGAGATTTCTCCAGAACGCCTACTCCCTCAACAGCCCTGCTGCCGAGCAAGGCTTCTGTAGCCAGAATGGAGCCCCAGCACGTAGTAGGTAGCACATGACTTCAACTTGCTAAGCTTCAGCTTCGTCGCCTGGAAAGTGGAGAAAATATCAACAGTGCACTTGCTTCACTGCTTTATTGTTGGGAAGTACATCGGGGTGCTTGCACTAACCTAAGTGTTATTATTATTACTTATGTGGGCGGTAGTGGCCATTTCTACCCTTAAATTCTTCCCCTGCCCTTCAGCCTCCAGACAAATCTCCAGTCCTTTGTGACGTGACCCTCCAGTGCTCAAAAGGCTGTCACTGATTGGATCCTGGACAGAGAGCTGTTCCACCTTTTCATGGCAACAGCAGCCTGCACGTATCGTACTTCGTCTGGGCCTCGAGCTGAGTTTCCTGCGTCAGACGTTTCTGGGGAATTCTGTGGTGCGTGTATCATTCGGTGTCAGCTTAACGGTAATGGTACCAGGACCCCCAGCCCTGCAGCTGCCTTTGGGGAAGGACCTGCGCTTCTTCCTCGCTCCCCCTGTTCCCCTGGCATCTCCAAGGGAGAGTGAAAATTGGGGTTCAGCTAATCCTGAAGGATGGGTCTCGAGAAGTGCAAGGGCTTGTGAGCTGAGAAGGGCTGGTCTTTGGATTGGTCCAGTTGTGGGGAATGAGAAAAGTAATTTCTGAGGTGATAAGAGAGACTCATGGGCTTCTACAAAGTGGGGGGAGGAGGGAAAGGCCCGCTGGCCATTGCGGGGGGGGGGGGGGGGGGGAGAGAGTGCCGGGGGACACTTGCTAAGCTCCCTTCCTCCCACAGCTGGTCTGTCCTCATTAGCATGCCACCACTGAGGGCCACCAGGAGCCACACTCTGTGGATTATCCGGAGCGAAGAGTCATCTCAAAATTCGCAGTCACAGGCTCCAGGAATAAGAGAGAAATGGAAACGGGGGGCGTGTAGGGAGGAAGGGGTGCCGACTAGCCGACGAGCAACTAATACTCATGTTCCAGCGCAAAGATTCTGAAACCTTTTGGTCTTGCATCTCTTTTCGGCCTTCAAAATTATTGGGGATCCCCAAGAACTTTTGTTTATGTGGGTTATAGCTGTTGCTGTTAACTGCGTTAGAAATGAAAACTAAGAACTGGGGCGCCTGGGTGGCTCAGTCAGTTAAGCTTCCGACTTCGGCTCAGGTCATGATCTCACTGCTCGTGGGTTCAAGCCCCGTGTCGGGCTCTGTGCTGACAGCTAGCTCAGAGCCTGGAGCCTGTTTCAGATTCTGTGTCTCTCCCTCTCTCTCTGACTCTCCCCTGCTCACGCTGTGTCTCTCTCTCAGAAATAAATAAAACATTAAACAAATTTAAAAAAAGAAATGAAAACTAAGAACTGCTTAAAATATTTGTTAACTTACTTTTGAAGTCACCATACAAGCCCATTACACGCTAGTACGCTCAACATTTTTTTTATGAAAAATTGTTATATTTTTCAAAGCAAAAAGAATCAATGAGAAGGGGAGCATTGTTTTGCATTTTCGCAGATCCCTTTAGTGTCTGGCTTAGTCGAGGACAGCTGGGTTCTTGTATCTGCTTCTGCCTTCAGTCGTCTGTGAGATCTCACACTGTGTAGCTTCTGGAAAACACGCCATGTGAGAGAACGGGAAGGGAAAAGATAAATAATATCTTGATATTATTTTGAAACTAATTTTGACCGTGGAGTCCCCCGAAGGGGTCTTGGGGACCCCAGGGGCCTCCAAACCACGCTTTGAGAACAGTTGTTTTTGTTTTAGCAAACCCTGGAAATAACCACTGTAAGATGACTGAAGCTTCTTTGAACTTTGTAGCTTCTCTCCTCTTTACTCTTCCCCTGACCCCGATCTGTATCTGTTTAATTAATAAGTGCCGGGCACAGTGCTAAGCGCTAGAGGCTCAAAGAAGAAAAATGCAAAGGCTGGGCCCAGAGGAGCTGACGGCCAGGAGGGAAGGTGGCTACGCAACCCCCTTGGGCTCCAGAGAAGCTCTGGGTCGCTCTAGGCTCAGAGCATGTGGCACTCGGCCTACAAGCGAAGGAGAGGCAAGGGTCCCACCAGAGTGGGCTCTTGAGGGTCTCCAGTAACACAATTAACGAGTCTCTCAGTGCTGCCTGTGGAGTGCTGTGTGGTCTGAAGCAATCAGAGAAGTCTTCGTGGAGGAGGCGGGATGTGGCCCAATGTGGCCTTCCAGGCACTGACTAGCCTGCAAGAAGGCCCCAGGGCAGGGCTGAGTGTGATGGATGTGAGAGATAAAGGAGACTGGCCAGACTGACGGGGGTGCAGGGGGAAAAATCACAGGGGAGGGGAAAAGGAACAGGAGGGGCGGGTCAAAGGTCGGGGCTCGCAGAGTTGGGACTCCTGCTTTCTCCGGGGTAAGAACTCTGGGCTGCTGTGAGTCAGCAGAGCCTCACTGGGACCTTCCAAATGGCCACCCAGATCCCACCCTGCCATTAAAATCTGAGCCCTGAAGACGGTCACGCCTGGGGACCCCAGCATGAGACAGGCCCACCTTCTTCCCTGACCCAGTTAGCACACTCCCCTGAAAAAAAGAAGGGAAGGGAGGAGGGAAGGGAGGGGGGAACAGGGAGGGGGAAAAAATGAGACAGATTGACAAGAATCGTGGTTGAGTCCCCTCCAGCTCTAAAATTAAGCATATCTCCTTTCAATCACGCCAAACGCCAGCTCGGTGCTCTGGCGAAGCTCTCGGCCATCCCATCCTAAGTGACGTGACTTCTGTTGACAAGGCAGCTCCCCTTGGCGGACTTTCCACATTATCCTACAGAAAAACAGAGACCCCAGAGACGCCGCCAGTGCGCCACGTTTTCTGAAGATGCGGATGTTTTTAAAACTTCTCTATAATGAAGGAAGAACCAAAAGATGAGATGCTTCCTTACCCTGCTGAGTCTCTCTCCTGTTGCCACTTCTCTCTCGGCTGCTCCCCATCCTGGTGTCCCTGGGGTGGAGAGAAGGACCCGTGTCACATCTCCTGGTACAAGGGGCAGGGCCCGCATTTTATCACATGAGTAGTCAGCACTACAGAAAGGAACGCAGTACCGTATTATATGTAAGAGTCATCGGATCGGGCAAGTGTGCGAGGGGGTGGGGGATTAATGAATTAGGAACCAAAGGGAAGTCGGTGGAGAGCCTCGGAAGCGAGAATGAAGCTGATTGAAGATCCATCCCCCATAAATCAACTGCCTTCTCCGTGGAGACTCAGGTCCACTTGGACCACACTCTGCAGATTGGGGGGAAAGCTGGCCTCCTCACGTGCTGGAGGGAGCTGCTGTTTTTGTGGAGCTAGGTAACAAAGAACAACGTAAAGGAAGGCATAGATCGGCGGGTGCCATTTTGTTCTTCTGCCTCACCCAGATTTCTCTGGGCTCTATGGTCTCTGATGAGCTCTGTGGCTTGCTGAGTGATGGAATAGATTTTCTCCTAAACTTACTGATGAAGGAGCTCCAAACTTTCAATCAACCTGCACAGAAAACCCCCTGGGACCCAAAAAGGGGGTCACAGGGGTGTTTGTAAAAGCTCTCTGGGGAAGCCAAGACTCATGTGTTTGACATTCTCACCTTCCAGTGTTTCCTGCTAAGGCAGGACCAGCCCTGACTTACCCCACAGGGCGATGGGCCTCTGGCCAGAGGAGGGAGATGGGGGTGCCACCTGGGTGGGCGGTGGGAGCAATGGCCTGAGACCTGGTCACCATTAGGAGTGTGGCCAGATCAGGTCTGGCGAGGCCCACGGTGCCAGGCCCATGCTGCTGAAGGACTTGCCGGTTGTTATGCCCTTCAGATACTTCGACAAAAGAAGCTTAGATCCAAGGGAGTGCCATGACTTGCTAGGATGGAGCCGATTCCACCTTCCACATGCGTTTTCTCCCATACGTGTGTGATTCAACCACTGCTCTGAAGGAGCAGATATGACATCAAATGTTGCCATGGGTATTGGAAACGGGTCCTCCCATACACTGCTGTAGAAGTGTCAAGGGCCTTTCCAGGGGGGAGCAGTTAGTTTGGCAATATGCAACAAAGGCTTTGAACAGTACATGCTCTTTATTGTGGCAATTGCATGTCCAAGAATGCATTCACGGAAAATAACCAAATAGTGTTCAAAGGGGAACGCACAATGATGCTTGCTGCACTTCTGTTTATAATGACATTGGAACACCGGAGAAACCCTAACCAGTCACTGATGGCTTTGGTTAATAAATGACGGTACAGCCTTGCCAAAGGGGAGGATACAACCCGTCAAAATGATGCTGTCGACTCTTCGATGGCACAAGGGACATGGAGTCACACTATATTGTTAGATTTTATTTTTTAATCATTTTTTAGAGTTTCTTTATTTATTTAGAAAGAAAGCATCCACATGATCATGGAAGGGGCAGAGAGAGGGAAAGAGAGAATCTCAAGCAGGTTCTGCACTGTCAGCACAGAGCCCGATGCGGGACTCAGTCCCACCAACCGTGAGATCATGACCTGAGCCAAAACCAAGAGTCGGCTTAACCAACTGAGCCTGCCCAGATGCCCCTATATCGTTAGCTTTTGAATAACAGGTTACAAAAAAGCTTTGCATAATATGGCTCCCTTTTTTTTGTAGATAAACATCACACATGTGCATGGAAATAATCTAAAAGAATATATATACATCAAAGTGTCGACAGTGTCCACCCAGCATGTGGGGTTTCAGGTGGTTGTTTTCTTTTTGTTTATTTGCATTTTCTAAATTTTATATAATGAGTAGTATATACTTACTTGTGCAGGTTTTTTAAAGGGCCAGGTGGGGGAAACCGGGTGTGTGGCTGCAGGTGAGCTAAGGATGGATCTGCTAATGGTCAGGTTCTAATGGACTATTTCTCATTGTTCCACTTACCTGCAGGAACACCGGGAGACACAATCTCCTCACACAGCATGAGCAGCTCAGGCGGAGGGTCTAACCTAATTTTAGAAGGCCCTAGAGGTACATTCAGGGTCTCAGAGGCCCTCTGCTCTTTCCCCTAGAAAAGGAAAAGCCCACCAAGGCAGGGGGTCTGAAATCACTTGTCCTACTGCCTTCTGAGGGGACCCTCCTGGGTCCTCATGCTGCCCAGGTAATGTGAGGACAGCAGGTGGGTAAAAGAGAATAAACTACATAACCCAAATTTGTCTGATGTCACAGCAGAGAAATCTTCTGATGAAGTCAACAAACATTTAAAAACAATTTTATCACAGGGTCACCTGGGTGGCTCAGTCGGTTGAGCGTCCGACTTCAGCTCAGGTCATGATCTCGCAGTTTGTGAGTTCAAGCCCTGCATTGGGCTCTGTGCTGATGGCTCAGAGCCTAGAGTCTGCTTTGGATTTTGTGCCTCCCTCTCTCTCTGCCCCGCCCATACTCCTGCTCTGTTTCTCAATAATAAATAAACGTTAAAAAATATAAATAAATTAAAATTTTTAATCAAGCAAAAGCTTTTTGCTGCAGTGTCTGTCTCTTAACTTTCTCATTCCTCCATCACAGAAGAATGAGGACAGAAGTCTCTAAGGCATCCGACCTTTTTACTTGTGGAAGTTTAGGTAGCATGAAGGATAAAATCATTGGTGAAACAAATTAAGTTACTTTTAGATTCTGGGTCTCCCAAGCATATTGGAGTAAATGCCTTCTCCCTTCTCCAAGATTTTTCTTCTTCCAATTTGATTGAAATATAATTGGCACATAACTTTGTTTTAGTTTCAGGTGGACACCATAATGACTTGATATATGTTTATATTGCAAAGCTATCACCACAGTAAGTTAACATCCATCACCTCACATAGTTATGTATGTGTGTGTGTCTCTGTGTGATGAGATCTTTTAGGATTTACCCTCTACATGTAAGTGATATCATACGGTATTTGTCTTTCTCTGTCTGACCTTCTCGGAGATTCTGATGGATTGAATGGCGGCTCAAAGATCAGTAGGCAATTGTGAAACAAAATACAGCATTAAAGAGTCTCTGGGCCGATACTGGACAACCCCAAAGCAGGGCTCTGATACAAGCGGGGCTGGAGAAGACGGCCCAGGCTTCAGGTCAACGTGGCAACTATTCTACTTTCCCAAATCTGCCTTGTTTAACCCCAGAACCTGGCAGTGCTAGGAAAGGCCAATTTGAAGCATATTTGTGGATACAAGAGCAAGACAAAAGAGTGAATGTGTCCGTGTCTCCAATGCCCAACTCATAAGCTGGCTGGGTTAGGAGACCCCAGGGCCATGCTGATGTGGAGCAGGAAGTAAAAGAGAAAGTGGGCAAAGTGTTCATGAACTTTTTATGTGCAGGGACCATGAGGCTCTAAGACTCTCCCCTCCTCCTGTGGAGACAGAACCTATAAAGGGGAGTGTGAATGTTCCCCCAACACACATCAGGGTGGGAGAGAGGACTGTGCAAAGTTCTGTCTGTCCTCTCCACAGAGAGAGGCAGAAACATGGCGGCAGGGGGCAGGGGAGAAGTTTCTTTCCTCCCCAACAAGGCAGTGCCCAACAGGAAGGAAGAACTGGCCTTGAAACATGACCTCATCCATCCCCACCTCGAATCCAGACCATCTCTGGTCTCTGAGTCATGTGGCTTCACTTGGAGAACCTTTGGAAAGTCCTCTTGCTACCTATAGACGAGCACAGCCTGTCCCTCCATCTCCCTCCATTGACCCTGCTGTGCAATATGACCTCTGAAACTGCTCCTTGGGAAACCCTTAGCCCACTTGAGGCTTCCCTGAAGGCGACAATGGTCCTTGGTTCCCAGTTCTGTCTGTCCTCCTAAAGTATGGATAAAAGACAGTAGGGAGATCAGACAGAAGAAGAGGGGCTGAGTCAGAGGGCTGAATTTCTGTTCCCAGAACACAGTCCTAAGCCACAAATTTAAGTTTCATAACATGAAATAACTTGCCAACTCTCTCCATTGGACAATGAGGCCACATGGAAGATTAAATAAGAATTCCTAATATCCACCGGAGCATTTCCTCAGACGTCAGAACATGGCCTGAATGATGAAATGACTACAGGTAACATATTTTGGTGTTCTGTCCCCTTTTCTGGGAACTGAGTTCTGCCCACAGGACTGCCTACCCTCTCAAAAGGAGCAGGTGTAGATGGCCATGACTTGTCTTATGTTCCCCTCCCCCTCCAGCTCAGCTGAGTGAGCCACGGATGGGCATCTGACATAAGAGGAGCCCGCATAAGCTAGGGAGCTCAGCCAGGCAGATTCTCCCTTCCTTATGCAAACGAATTGTATTTGGGAGCAGGCATTGGAGATAACCATGTAGAGTAAGCTCTGGAATTAATGGCAAGGCAAAGCCAAGCTTCATGCGAGCCAGAGTCAGAGGGGAGGAGTGGTCAGAGGGAGCAGAGCAAAATGGTCTGCAAAGAGAATAAGACAGAGCAGGAGAGAGAAACCAAGGATGAGAAAAAGTGGGAAAGAAGGGGAAGAGAAGGGAAAGAAGGAAGGACAGATGCATAGAGACAGAGAGCAAGCCAGAGGGGGACCAGGACTCTTTCTGGCTGCCCATGCCTTCTCATTGCCAGCGTCAGTTCCCAAGAGGCCTGAATTTACTTTATTTCTAGAAGATGCTTCCATACCTTTTAACAGTCATCTTTTTCTTTGAGTAAAATTTATGTTCCTTGCAGCCAGTGAGCTCTGATTCAACCTATGAGCCTAGCCATGGCAGCAGGATGGGACACCTTGAAAGGGCAAGAGTCTGCAGGTGGATATGCCCCGTTGAGTGGAACACGCACTTGGGGGAACATGAAACCAGTGCAGGTTCCCCACGGAAGCTTGGGCAGACAAGCAATTGGCAACTGAACAGAAATTGGCAGAGAACTTGGTCCCTGGGTTGAGAGATAAGAAAGGGCAGGAAGGGAGAGGGAAATGACCGAGTCAGAGCAGAGTTCTAGCTGGGGAAATCCTGGACAGAGACTCACCCAGAAGGATCCTATAAAACCAGAACTGAGGGCCAGGATGGGCCAAGATCTTGGGCCTTTCATTTAAGGACAGGAAAATAGCATCTTTCAAAAAAAATCAATAAAGAATATCTTTGTGTTTCCAAAAGTCCCACACAATTTGAGTCTTTATTGAAAGGGGTAGGTATTGCCAGACCACTTCCTGCACGCTTTGGAGGACTCCAGCTCCAGAGTGCCTGGGGCCTCCCTCTAACTCCACAAATCGCTTATCCTGTTTACAGTCAACTCTTGTTATTGGCCATAGTTATGATCTGTGAAGTCACCTGATCACGGAATTAGCAATACTGAACTGTTGCATCCAGGGGAAATACCAGGTTACTTTCCTGCAAACCTCTGGCCACATTTTCATGAATGGGTCAATGCATAAGCCTGCTTTGTGTGTGTTTCTATTTAAGGATACCTTATTCAATATATATATTAGTGATTCATTAACCTTGGAGTCAAGGCCAACAGCACGAGAACTCACACCTCAGCAAAGCTTCTCTAATACACATATTTTCTCCAGAAGGCATGTCGCAGCCTTTTGGTGCCTTAGAACCTTTGCCATAATGGTGGTGTCATTGTTTGCATGTGAGCAATGAGAGCTCTTTGGAAGAAGAGAGGACAATTACTTATTAATTTTTGTAGCCATAGCGCCTAGCACTGTGCCCGGCATCTAATAGTCACTCAATAGATACCTGATGAAAGAATCGAGGAATCAGGGAGGAAGCTCAGTTCCAAGAGTCTATAGTGGGCAAATAGAAAGTGCAGACTTTCTCTGACTCTCTCCAAGTTTGCCTGCTATGATCGGAACTTGGTCCTTCCTGAGGCTCAGCTTGTGGGACGGGAGTCAGTCAAGGAGAGAGGAGTGAACTCCAGACAGGGCCCGGAAGCGTTCATCACTGAGCACAGGTGAGCACAGGTGAGCACAGGTAGTCATCAACTTTGAGTGGGAGAGCATCCATGGCCACTCACAGTATGGGAAGCTAAGCTCTAGGTCCCGGATGGTCAGCTGAGCTGGTGAGGGGTCAGGGAGGTGTCCGAGCTGGAAATGAAGCAGATACACGTGTGTAAATTGCACTGACTTACGTAAAAGTGCTGAGGAATCATTTGCTTCGTTAACATGGCACCAAACCTTCTAGTTGTAATGTTAGGTCAAAAAAAAAAAAATAGCTTAGACAACAAGCCATATAGACAGATGATTGCTTTCCTAACTTTCGTCTCCTTCTTTTTATTAGATTAGCCCCCGAGCATGATGTTTTAAAAGACACTACCCATCGAACAAATGGCATTTTAAGTAACTACTTTCCCGTGGTGATTAGACACAGAACTACCCATCAAGCTTCTCACCGCCAAGAAATACCACGTGGAGTTGCTATATTTGAGCCAAAGGTAAAGACACTTGAAACTTACTCTGCATATGGTGGTTAAATATATGATTTCAACTTTTAAAATATTGAAATACTTCAGCATGCCCTTTGCTAAGAGTTTCACTGGCCTCTTTGGAGACCTCAGATGGAGAGTAACTAAAATCCATGTCTGAACTCACCGGTGCTCATGGCAGCAATAGACGCACAGGTGAACATAGGGAGCCGCTGCTCCGGTTTTTGACCACGACTCAGCCAGCCCATGTGAAGTGGCTTCTAGCCTCTCTCTTCTCAACAGACCCGGACAATCCTCCTCAGCCCTCCCAGCCCCTGGTATGGTGGGCTGTGAACTTCTGCTCCTCTTTGTGTGCTCACAGAGGCACGTACCCAATACCGGTAGGCTCGTTACATGTGTTCTATTCAACTACCATGGCTCCCCTGAGGTAAAGCATAAAATTCTCTTGTCCAGAGTGCTTCTTCCGAAGGCTGTTGGGGTCTCTGAGCCCTTTCCCCCCCCCACAAGAGATACCAGAAGTGACCACGCCTATGCTAGAGAGTTCGGAGCAAGAATCCAAGGAAAGTGGTGGCTGGAGCAGCGATGCAGCAGCTGCTGTGTCATCGTCTCTGCTCCAGGCTGAGGAATGAAATGCTGTAATTATCGATTCGGAGGCTTCCACGGGCACGTGAGATGAAATCCCTTGGCAGACCACAGCTCCTATCACCAGGGACACGACCCCGAGGTATTCCTGCCTATGGTCCCTGTCTGCCAGTTGGATATTCCCATGCCCTGGATGGCCCATTTGTGCCTTCCTCCTCTCTGCTGCCCACAGCCTGTCAGCTCACCCACGCTGGGCCCTACAGGCATGGGGGGTGTGTGTGTGCAGGTTTTCTGAAGATCACGCAAACACCTTCAGCCAAGGGGCTGTGAGACCCGAGTGCTGATTCCTGGCAAACAGAAAGCGCTACGTTGGAAGGCAGGTGTGCCAGCCTTTGCCTCAGCTCGGCCATGAAATTCGCTTAACTGTCAGTCTTCAGTTTCCGCACCCGGGATCGAATGTTCCGCATAAACGCAATCCCCCTCCTACATGATCCCTGCCCCTCGACAGTTGAACATGGCTGGAGAAAAGCAGATGGGCCACACTGACTGGTCTGGTTTGCAGTCTATCACTGCAGATCTCAAGTGGGCACTCAGCACTATCTAGAAGTCCTAACCTTTACCCAGACTATTGTGCCCTCCTTTTCCTGATGACTATTCCCTCCTTCCCCACTCTCCTCAAACCTTCAACCCCCTCTTCTTGTTCTCATTGCTCTCAGCTAATACAATACTCTTTATTTCGCTGGGAAAAAAAAAAACAACAACAACACAGAAGCATCAAAAGAGAACCACCTTTTTATCCTGTCACCGATCAACGAATCCACCCACATCCGTGTCACCTTCTCTGCCTCCCCTGCTCCCTCACCGCCTCCTCTACGGTGACCACCCATCTCAGCCTGCTTGGATCTGAGCATTTTCCTGGGAGGTGGGTCTTTCAGTGGAAACAACAGGCCGGTCCTGGGCAAACCGGGGTGAATTGTTCGTCCTACATCCCACAGTGCCCTGGATTTTTCCTTCTCAGAGAATCGGGGACACTGTTCCACTAATTGTGTTCCTCTCCTGCCCCACCATTTTTTCCCTTTCTCTTCGGATTGGGTCTTATCGGCCCATAAACATGCTGTGAATTTGTGCACCTTTTAAGAATCCTCCCTGGGCCTCACATTCCCCTCGGTTGCTGTCCCATTCCTCTGCTCGCGAAACTGCCAGCTGGCCAGGTCCTGTCATCAGCTAAACGTGTCTCTCCACATACAGGCCTCTGCAGCCACCATCCAGCACTAATGGCCGCATGTCATGGGCCTTAACGCTGATCCTTACCATGAGTCAGTTTCACGTACTGAATCCAGGAGTGTCAAGGGCCTGATGCATTGGGATCAGTTGGTCGTGTATCAGTCCCTCTTCCCCACCTCCCACTGGGAGCATCCTGATGGCAGAACCTCGCTCTACTCGTCTTTCCACGGCTGTTGTCTAGAACCCAGCGAGGCACGTGGTGGGAACAGAGTGAGTGTCTGTTGAGTGAACAAACGACTAAAACACTGAATGAATTATGGACCCAGTTTAAGGCTCCTGAGCACGTTAACCACATATGCCTCACCCTCCTCAACTCCCAAAGCTCTAGACGGTTGACACTAAACCACACTTTCATGTCACATGTCCCCTTTTATCACGTAGTCATTTATCTTGTGGAGGGTACTAACCCTCAGGTGATAGTCTTGGCCTTGCACCATAAGCTTGCTCATTCCCTGTAGGTAGCGCGTATGCTCTACAACGCTCAGTAACTATATCAAGCTCATTAGTCAGTTGGTATAAATTACGAAATACCTAAAGGGAACATTCTTCCAGGTGCTGGGGGCCATTCAGACAGAAGAGACTCCTTCTGGTAGGAGCTTGAACAGTAAAGGGATGGGATATTGAATAATAAGAGGACTGCAGAAGTCTATTGCCAGTAGATAGGAACCCCCCTTTTTCAACTACCTCAGGGCTCATGCAAGATTTGGAATCCAGGAGAGAGCCGGCAGCCAGGGTGGGAGAGTCAGTGAATAATATTTGGGAGATAGACCCATCCAGGCTGCTGGGCATACCTGGGGAAAAGTTAAATCTGACCCCAGAACATATCACCTGGATGGACCTGCTTTCGGTGCACACCAGCCTCCCCCATCCCTGCAGCCCCAAAAGTCTCTTCCTTGTGTGTTTGGAATATTTGGTCTTGTTATAATAAGAGATTTCCCATCAAGGAACCATTTCATTCCCTGGCTCAGTTAGGTGGGTTGTCTCGAATTTTGCTCTCTTAAAATACCACCCTCTCCCACCTGCATCCGCTTCCTCCTCCAGCCACCAAAGGAAAACCCACCAAAGCACTGGGGTTCCAGCCTCTGGCAGCCTCCTCTGCCCTGCTCTGCCCAGCCCCCTCTCCTCCCCAGAAGGGCACCCGCAGCCCTAGCAGAAACATGGTCGTCAATTTGTGCGGCTGGTACCAGCGTTTTAGCATATTGAGTGGTCCAAATATTTAAATATCTATGATATAGGAAGCGTGGAGAACATTAAAAACCATTTTCTCCCCGCTGATTCCAAGAGAGGAAATCTACACAGTCCCTGCTTCCCTGCACAGTTGCAAAACTGCTGGCCTAATCATATTGCCTATGTAAAGTACCTCTCCCGCCTCCTCTCGTCTGACTTTAGGTTGCATTTACTGTAAACAAAGATGTATTGGGGGGGGCCGTTGGATTGAGTTTATTGTTTATGTAAATCTCTCAGAATGTGACATAGCAAGATAGCTTCCTATGTTGTGTTGATCCACATTTTAGGCCAACAGCCAAAGTATTTTATCTTTTCCTTCATTATAGTGATCTTCCAATTAGCTGTGGTCTGTAATACCCTGATTTTGGTGGCAGTGGTTTGGACAGGATTGTTTGATAGTTCTGCTCGAGAGGCAAAATAAGGGGCCTTATTATAGAAGTGCAGAGGTTGTGCGGGAGCTGAGTTCTGTTGCAAAGTTTGCCGATAAGGGGAAAACCGGCCCTTAAGCGTCCATTCTGTTCTGTATATTAACACTTCTAATCTGCACTGCTGATAAAACTGCAAGCCATTTGCCTTTGGAGGAATTAGTTCTGCCTCACTTGTGTAACCAGGCGATGGTGATTAACCTTTAAACTGTCCAATATTCCCAGCAGCCTCCTGCTCCAGATTAGAAACTATTTAGTTATGACCAACTAAATTAACAACACTCCCTCGTCTGAAGAATGAGATTTGGAAGGTGGATGCATTTTAAGGTGGAATTGTGTTTTGAATTGGTGATCCTTCTTTCTAAGGTGCTTATTTCCTCGCCCGTTACAGTCCAGGCTGCCGCGGTGGAGACGGAAGGTTCAGCGGGAGGCTAGGGAGGGAGGGGAAGGCGATCGGGCCGTTGCCCTGGTTGGGTTTGCGGATCCAAGGTTTCATGGGCACAAAGGAAACCTGACTTAGGTTTGGATTTCCTTCCCTGTTATCACCCCGGGTTCAAAGGGGACTTAGCTCTTCTGCTAGACCCAAGCCATGCGCACAGTGGGATAGAGCCGTAGCTCCTAATGGGAAGATTAAGGAATAAATAAAGTAGCTCCCTCACCACCCTACTCCCAGTTTCTTCCTGGAGTTGCACGTCAGAAAAAGATACTAACTAACTCTCAGGTTCCAGACACGGGGATCGGCCCACGGCAGGTGGATCTCCCCAATCCAACCGTGGTCCCGCTAACAATCCGGCTCAGCACTCTCCTATCTGCCCAGTTCAAATGTGTAATTTATCAGTGGAAACATACCCTCGGTGGCGAGGGCCAGGCAATTATGTAATCGTGTCGTGCCTCAAATCCCCAAATTGTGGGTCCTCCCCGGATAGCAAATAAAATGAAACAACAGCCCTCACTACCAACACTCCCCCTACCCCCCGCCGCCGCCGCCACTACCACCCAATCCCGGTAGCAACCTTTTCTGTTTTACTAGTTTCATATTAGCTGCCTCCTTAAAAACTGCTAATCTAGATACTGCATTAGCAGGATGTCAGTCAAGCCGCAGTCCACGGCGAAGCCTTCTTCATATACCAATTTAAATCATTCATGGTCTTTTCTTTGGCATTATTCAAAAGATCATAATAATTTTCTTGTGCCCACGGCACAAAAAAATCAATTATTTCCCCACAAAGACTTGAAAGTACTTAGCGAGGGCGGCAAGAAAAGCTGAGGGTGATATCAAATTGAAATTGCACTCATTACATACAACACAATTAGTTGCCACTAGCCTGGCCGGGCTTTAATTCTGAATGGCATATCTTTATTATTACAGAAACAAGCATGCAAATGGCATTGTTCAGGATTTGCCGAAATCAATAGGATATAGTGCTGTGTGTTTGGTGGCCACTGTCACTCACACTCCTGTGGATGCGAGATAATGTGTGTGTTTGAATTAATGAAGGGAGCGGGCAACATCATAAGTGACACCCAAATAAAAGAAATGGGTACATGATATTTGTAATTATTCTACTTGTGTTTTTGTTGTAAATACTTGTGCTTTTTGTTTTTTAATCAAAGGATTAATTGCATTTTAATAAGGCATTATGATTTGCAGAGCTTTAGTTAATTAAAACTTGTAGTATATAATTATGAAGTGATGCTGAGATTTTTCTAAAGATCACCCATATGTTTAGAATATGTATAATTTTTCTGTTAAGCGGTCTCGATCTCTCCCCCTGCCCTCCCGCCCCCCACTCCCACCCCCCCGGCCTTGCTCCTTGGTCCCTGCCCTGCCAACGGAAGATGCGGATGACTTACGTGAAATGGTGAATTGCTGATTCCAGGTGCATTTCTCTAAGTGGCAACTAGAACCCAATTTAGGTTACTGCAC